AATAAGGCCCAATAGGGAGCCCATTATGGGTCTGGCAGTGGAGTGCCGGCGGGCCGAGGGCGTGGCAGCAGAAACGAAAGCAAAACGGATTTTGTTTGTGATACGGGTCAGAAATAGAATTGTCCATCATCACAAATTTCCAGAGGGAACTGAAGAAACTGGGTGGCTTTGAGAAACGAGAATCAGGAATCAGAGGCTTTTTTGAAGCCGTCATGTCGTAATCATAAATCAATCCGTCAGTCGCTCACAAAATTTCCAGTATAAGAAACAAAATCGACATTTTTTTCAAAGCTGTGTTTTTTCTTCTTCTGCTGCTGCGTCAGACGATCATTATGAAAGAAAGAGCAGACGGATTCGTATTTTATTTTGTTTTATAATAATCTCCAGACGCTCTGTTTGCACGTGAAGCCACCGTTTTAGCCACGGCGATCCAATTATTTCTTGTTCTTTTCTTTCGCGAAACTGATTGCTGAATCGAGTCCAATTCAATTTAAATTTATTTCAACAATAAACGCAAATAGATTCTTGTTGGATATGTCAGTTTCCCAATTTTGTTGAGTAATTGGTTCGCCTTTTTACCTCATTTCAGCATTTAAAGTAAGTTCCAGATGAGATGAGTTGGTGACTTAAGTAACAAAACTTTGCACTTCTGTATGCTCGGTTACATATATTTTAAAGTCAAGTTAATACTTAGTTTTAACCGTGAGTTAGAGTCAAATCGAACTGTCGATATATATATATATATATTTGATATATGGAAGTGTCCGACATTTAATGTTGGAAAACACATAAGAATTACTAATTCATGAAGTAGATGACCTGTGATATTATAAGAAGTATGCTAAATTTCTTGGAGTATAATGAGTAAGGATGAATATTCTAATTCATAAACTTTTAGTCGCAAGCCGGTGCTTTAATCGGTTGAGCTATGCTCAAATTGGTAAACTAAAATTAGTTTTGGTATACAAGTTACTTTCGAATAAGATTCTAACTTAAATTTTGCCCAACACTCATTATTAAATATTTACCATTCTTAAAAGTAAATTGCTAGAATTAAAATGTTATTGTAATAACTATAGAAACTTTGTAGATTTAAATGGTTAGACGTTTATATATCTTTTTGTGAGAGATGATAAAATTATTATAGAGGCATGTAGTGTGGGTTCTCTTACCTTTCCTTGTTTATCAACTTTTTACCTTGGATTATTATTAAAAGATTGGTTGTTTTTAAAAATTAATTAGTTTAATAATATAGACATTAATCCATGCATACGAAAATACATCATATTAATATAGTATTGATATTTAATAATTCTTTATATCAACCTGATCAAAGATAATCTTTTCTCATGAGGATCAAATTTGTCGAATTGGGGATTTGAAAATAAGGTGGGGATGGAGACTAAAAATTGTTGTGAGGATTGAAGAGGTTAAGTGCACCTTTAATATCATATTTATGCCTCTTCCACTGTAAGTTCAAATTATTTCTTATTTCAATAGGTTAAATTACGCGATTAGTTATTGAATTTTCAAATTTGTATCTAACAGGTCCTTAGACTTTGAAAATGTATAATAGATAGGTATTTAAACTTTCAATTTGTGTCTTATAAGTTCATGAACTTTAAAATTGTGTCTAATAGGTCATTGAATTTTCAATTTCATGTCTAATAGATCCCTATCTACTTTTTTTTTCAAATTAATTGATCTAATCGACATAAATATGAATTTTGTAACTAATAGGATCATCATCTTTCTATCGTGTTACTTAAATAAGTAAATTTAAAAAAGATGTTGATTAGGTCAAGAATCTATTAAATACACAATTCTAAAAATTGAGGGACTTACAAATACACATACAAAATTGAAAGTTGAGTGATTTATTGGATATTTTTTAAAATTCATTGACTATTGATAAATACTTAAAAAAAACGAGAGACCCAAAAAATAAAAACTATATTTTTGGACACTAGAGAATAAATTGCTCCACATGTGAAGTCTTGTCTTGTCAAACGTTTGTTTCTTGCAATAAATTTTCCTTCAAAGGGGATGTATGTATGAATAGTAGTGTTTCTATAAAAACAAATCCCCCATAAATGATTTCTCATTAATTGACTATTGACATTAAAAGAACGGTAAATTTTTTTTAAGAAACAAGCTATGTATTTGGAAAAGAAAGCTTCTAGCATTAAAATAATTTGGGATGATTTCCTACCTAATTTGGTTCATATTTAGCTACGCCATTATCTATTTCATTACTTTATTTAGCAAGTTGACGTGATTTGAATGTCAAATGACACCCTTTAGAAATTTTAATTGCATTTTTTGTTTTTATAAAACCTAATTAAATGAACATAAAAATACTTTGTTTTGAGTCTTAAATGATTAATTGACACCATAATTGAAAATGGAAATACTTAGAAAATATGAAGTAAAAATAAAATAAAATTAGAAAAGAGGGACTATAGGATTCAGCGTTTCCTTAAAAAACATATCATTTTTGGATGGTAGAGAAAATTAAAGTTTATTACTGTTTTTTTCTTTTCTTTTCTCTCGATATCTTAAATCGGTGTCCCCATTTGTTTTATAAAACTTAATTTTCATAATTTGTTTTTGCTAACTTGTATACTGGTAGCCAACGTTTTAATTTAATTTAAAATATATGCAAATATCAATATTTAAATTTTTTTTTAAAAGACTTAAATTATTTAGTTTTCACCATCTCTTGGTGGGAAGTATATGCCAATTACCGTTAAGTTATGCTCGCTTTCGCTCAATTTTTTGGTCTAAATTGTAATGCTTGACATTTTCCCTATTTAAAATTTGAAAATATAAATTGTTTTAGAGTAGGTTGAAATAAGAACTTATTTCAAATATTTTAAATCAATACTTGATTCGATATTATAATGAAATAGAATTTTAAACGATTTAAATATACTAATAATTAGTTATTGATATTGATCGGTTCATAATACTTTACATTGTAAGTTCGAATTCCACCTGTGTTGAATTTAAATAATAATAATAATAATAATAATCATCCGCTATTGTTTTGGTATTTTAGAGCAAATGGTATGAAGATTCTTTGATCTCCACTCGTACGAATAAAAGCAAAAGCATATTGTTTGGCTTCTCATCAAAAGACCAATTTAATTTCTGTAAATATATTCCTCTAGAGTAGACCGAATCCTAATTGCAAAAAATGCACGAGTTTGAGTAGGAGACAGAAGAAATGGTTAGTTAAAGTTCAGTACATTATTTTGATTCCTTGATCATATATTAGTTTTCAATTTTGATTTTAATGTTATAAAATATTTAATTTTATCTCTACAGTTTACGGTAGTTTCAATTAAACTCGTACTCAATAAGATTTTATTAATATTAATGAGGTTTCATCTCAAAATCAATTGACAATGAGAGGAGTAGTCCATGTTTATTATAAATCATTGTAAGGTCTCTTCTCTTTTCAATGTGCTTCAAGATCGTGGCTCTTTTGGCTCATCGATCATGGCCGGATCCTATTTTTGGACCGGTTGCTCGTTTGATCGTTTTGGGCTCTGATACTATATTAATATTCATGGGTTCCATCTCACAACCAATTGACAATGAGAGAAGTAACCCATATTTATTGTAAATTATTGTAAAGTTCATTTTTTTTTTTAATGTTGGATGCTTAACAAATTTAAGATCAAAACACTATTAATTTTAAAAAAAAGATTAGAAAAACTCGATGTACTTTGGAATGTCAAATATTAGGTAGGGAGGAGTTATTTTATGAGTGGCCAATGGCAGCAATTTATACCAAAAGGGATTTGTTTGATACAAAAGTAGTAGCATTTATTCGCCAGAACACACCCTTAGATTCCATTAATTTGAAAAAAAAAAGAAAAGTTTCAATTCTTCACCACTAATGGTGAGAATTGGAATATGTTCTTCCAACTCATAGTGGATTAACAGAACATTTGTTAAAAAAAAATAAAATCAAATTAATTGCGATGGAATTGATGCTATTTCGAATTCAAGCGGTTCTTAGATTATGCGCACTGCCCCACTTCTCCACTTTTCCCTCTTCCCAAAGCCAAATCCACTTTCTTTCCAAAAACGTAAACTTGAAGCATTACTTGCATCTCCAAAAACCACACGAAAAATAAATAAATGTGGTTGTTTTCATTTATATATAATCACTAGATATTAGATATATGAGGAAGAAATATATATACCATGCATGTGGTCCGAGAGTGGTCAATTAAAAAAAAGAGGTGAGACGATTCGAAATTTCATTTTTAAAAGGATAAGTAATGTGTTAACTGATTGAGCTAAGTTTATTTTAAAGAATAGAGTTAGACACTTTTGTTTTAAAAGGAGTAAAATTTTACATTACAACTTTCAATCCCTTTTAATTTTAAGAATTGCCCATCATCTAAATACTTGCTTGACTCTAATAATCAATTGACAATAAAAAAAGGTAACCAAACTATTTACCAACTTTGTTTTGGTTGATGGTCGCCAATTTTTTTAGTGGAGGGTCGAAGTAAATAATATTTTTGATTAGTTAAATTTGGATTTTTTTTTTGTATAATCTTTTTGTTTTTTAGGAGCTATAATGTGAGGGACAGTCGTGATGGGGATTGGGATATGTATGTAAGGTTGGACCCTTGCAGTGGGTTGACTTGAATTGAATAATTTTGTTTCTAGAAAAAGGGAACAGGGTGAGTTATGGTGAGGTGGGGAGCAGGGGATAAAATCCGGAAGGCCCAATGGGGAAGGAGAGTGAGTGGGCCTACAAAATAGAGGAAGAGTGGACTTTGCGCTGAAAGACGAAATGGAAAGGGAGAGTCAGAGGGGAAAGTGTCTGTTGGGAAAAAGACGGAAACAGCCTTTGGTTGGGCCCTCAACAATCACACAAAGCCCATTCCCTATTCTGTCTTAGTAAAACCACACCATTTTTTTAATCAATTAAATTTATTTCTTTTCCATCTCCATGTCCACGTCGGACCAAGAACGATACGACACGACGCGCGAGATGACTTACCAGAACCGGGGTGGGTCCCACTTCCCTACTCATCACACGCCGTCAACCACACGTTTCAGATCACTTCCTACTTCCATTTCAAACGACGCCGTTAGGTATTACGGTCCAGACAGAAGACCAGTACCATCAATCCGTCGGTCGGCGTCTAATCTAATCCCTCGTACATGATGCGTGGGGCCCAAAAATGGCCGGAGGTAGCGCAGTCGTAGAGCTTAGGATAAGACGGCCTCAGCGGATTCCATACTCGCAGCCTCGCTTTCGAATTGGATGTTTCAGATTTGTATTTTCTTCGTCAGTTTTTTAATCTTTACCGCCATCGCCTATTGGAGCTCTGAATTGTTGCTGGCTTTGATGCCATTGCCATTGGCATACAAGTAACGCGAACGCAAACGCCAACTTCATATTCTCTTATTCATCATCTTCACTGGTGTTCCGATTCCAAGGAAGAAGACGAAGCGCTGAGACGATGAAGAAAAAACCGCTTAATCCTGTTGTTTTACTCCACATTATCTTCGTTTTACTTTTCTCTGCCTGTTTTTGCTTCGCCAATCGTGATATGGAAGCGCTCTTGCAGATGAAGAGCGCCTTGATTGGACCGGGGATGTCGGGGCTTCACGATTGGGAGCCGTCGTCATCGCCTTCTGGACATTGCGCTTTCTCCGGTGTCTCATGCGACGTCGATTACAGAGTTGTTTCGCTTAACGTCTCGAATTTTCGTCTATTTGGCCGGATTTCGCTGGCGATTGGAATGCTGGACAAACTTGTGAACCTAACATTGGTGAATAATAATCTCACTGGAGAGCTTCCTCTGGAAATGGCGAAACTCACGTCCCTTAGGACTCTTAACCTCTCCAACAACGCCTTCCGTGACAATTTACCGGCGGAAATCATGCTCGGAATGACGGAACTCGAGGTCTTCGATATTTATAACAACGAGTTTAGCGGGCCGCTTCCGGAGGAGTTCGTGAAGCTGAAGAAGCTTAAGTATCTTGACCTCGGCGGATGCTACTTCACCGGTCAGATTCCGGAGGTTTACTCTGAGATGCAGACGTTGGAGTTCTTGAGCGTTCGGGGAAATGGGCTTAGCGGAAGGATTCCGGCGAGTTTGGCGCGGTTGAAGAATCTGAGATATCTTTACGCCGGGTATTTTAACCATTACGACGGCGGAATTCCGTCCGAGTTTGGATCGTTGAGTTCCCTTGAGCTTCTCGATTTAGGATACTGTAATCTCTCAGGTGAAATTCCTCCGAGTTTGGGGAATTTGAGGCACCTGCATACTTTGTTTCTACAAATAAATAATCTTACTGGTCGGATTCCCTCGGAACTTTCTGGTTTGGTTAGTCTCAAATCGCTGGACCTCTCGCTGAACGAACTCACCGGAGAGATACCGGCGAGTTTCGCGGCACTGCAGAACATTACGCTGATCAATTTGTTCAGCAACAAACTTCACGGTCCAATTCCTTCTTTCGTCGGTGATTTTCCGCATCTCGAAGTGCTTCAGTTGTGGAGCAACAATTTCACGCTCGAACTCCCCGAGAATCTCGGGCGCAACGGAAAACTGTTTCTGCTCGACGTGGCCACCAACCACCTCACTGGACTCATTCCTCCGGATTTATGCAAAGGTAGTTTGAAGATTTTGATTCTGTTGGATAATTACTTCTTCGGGCCCATCCCTGAGGAACTAGGACACTGTGCATCGCTCACGAAAATAAGAATTGCGGGAAATTTCTTCAATGGAACGGTTCCGGCTGGATTCTTCAATTTTCCCGTGTTGGAGCTACTCGATGTCAGTTATAATTACTTCTCCGGCGCCCTTCCATATCAAATGTCAGGAGAGTCTCTTGGAAGTCTACAGCTTAGTTACAACCACATCACCGGGGAAATTCCGGCGGCTATTAAGAATTTAAAAAACTTGCAGGTTCTTTCTCTGGATCATAACCACTTCACCGGAGAGTTGCCTTTGGGAATATTTGAATTTAATAAGTTGCTGAAGATCAATATGAGCAATAACAACATAAGCGGCGAAATTCCGCATTCGGTCGTTCACTGCACGTCTTTAACGTCAATTGATCTCAGTGTAAATTTCCTCGTAGGCCAAATCCCCAAGGGAATTTCGAAACTGAAAATCTTGAGCGTCCTGAATTTTTCGGGAAATCGACTGACGGGCCAAATTCCGAACGAGATTCGGTCGATGATGAGTCTCACGACTCTAGATTTGTCACACAACAACTTCTTCGGTAGAATTCCCACCGGCGGCCAGTTTTCGGTATTCAACGTCAGCGCATTCGCCGGAAACCCTAACCTCTGCTTCCCCAACCACGGGCCTTGTGCATCTCTACACAGCAATTTCAGATCCTTTAAGCTGATCATTCCAGTCGTTGCGATATTTACTGTCCTGTTATGCATACTCGCCGCTGTTTACCTCCGGAAGCGAAAGAGGATTCAGAAATCAAAGGCTTGGAAGCTCACGGCGTTTCAACGCCTGAACTTCAAAGCGGAAGACGTCCTCGAGTGCTTAAAGGAGGAAAACATCATCGGCAAAGGCGGCGCCGGCGTGGTGTACCGTGGATCTATGCCGGACGGTTCCATCGTCGCGATCAAACTGCTGTTGGGAAGCGGCCGGAACGACCACGGTTTCTCCGCCGAAATCCAGACACTAGGGCGAATCAAGCACCGGAATATCGTCAGGCTTTTGGGCTACGTGTCGAACAGAGACACGAATCTGCTGCTGTACGAGTACATGCCCAATGGGAGCTTGGACCAGAGGCTGCATGGAGCGAAAGGCGCACATCTGCACTGGGACTTGCGGTACAAGATCGCGATGGAAGCCGCCAAAGGGCTCTGTTACTTGCACCATGATTGTACGCCGCTGATCATTCACAGAGACGTGAAGTCCAATAATATACTGCTGGATAAGTTCTTTGAGGCGCATGTGTCGGACTTTGGGCTCGCCAAATTCTTGCAGAACGGCGGCGCGTCCGAGTGCATGTCCTCCATTGCCGGCTCCTACGGCTACATCGCTCCAGGTTTGTTCTCTCATCTGATTCTTCATCATCATAAGTAATTTCTATAATAAGTTCTGTTTCTTAATTACATGACCGATACAATTTAGGAGTACGTAAGTTGTTGTGTTGTGCCCTAGTTTATTGTTATTAGATTGTAGAGTATTAATGGGATTAACTTATTCATTTTCACTAATAAACGTGATTAACTTGTTGATTAAAATAATTTGAATAATTAAGTTGGAATTCAACTGACCACAAAATTAGTGATTAGGTGCTTGTACAGTGAGAACAAACAAACAAAATCTGACAACACTTTCATTTGATTCGGGATCTGTGGGCCGAACGACTTCCGGCAGCCCATATACATGCGGGTTACTTTCTAGAAAGTCCCTAAACTCAGATGGGTTTGATCTATTGATTCTGTTTCTAGGTATTAGAATTCATTTAAACTATTTTATATAAACTATTCTAGATATCTTATAAATGATTAAGATTTCTTCTAGCAAACAGAAATTTTTGATTGGCTCGACTTTTTTTTTTGCTATACTTACAAATCCGGAAATTTTATTTTTTGTCTATTAAAAATATTTGTAAATATGAGTTTTTTTTTTCTTGTCTTGCAAGATTGTAATATTTGCACCATCTTCATTTTGTCCTAATTGCAATTAAAATTATTTGTCACCCATTACAATTTACCTATTAACAATATATTTTATTAATTCAATAGCTGTAGGGTAGGAAATAGATAAGTTCGATATATATATATATGTTATTAATATTTGCTGTTTTATCTTTCAAATTTGACTAAGATTTGGTTTCCATTTCCCTCGAGAAATGGAAAAGAAGTTCCATACATTTAATTTCCGAAATGGAAATCTACTAATTATGGGCAATGGATTTTTGTTGTCTTCATATTTAATTTTGGTGCATGATTGAGATCAAAATCTCAGATGGTTTATTTGAATTGATTATCTTGTGTTTTTGGTGCCAACCCAAACCGGACAACAGAATACGCCTACACACTGAAAGTGGACGAGAAAAGCGACGTGTACAGCTTTGGTGTAGTACTGCTGGAGCTGATAGCCGGGAGGAAGCCAGTGGGCGATTTCGGAGAAGGCGTGGACATAGTGAGGTGGGTCCTGAAAACCACATCGGAGCTGTCTCAGCCGTCGGATGCAGCCTCAGTATTAGCCGTGGTGGACTCGCGGCTCACCGAATACCCTCTCCAATGCGTGATCCACCTCTTCAAAATAGCGATGATGTGCGTGGAGGAAGACAGCTCCGCAAGGCCAACCATGAGGGAGGTCGTCCACATGCTCTCCAACCCCCCAAGGTCTGCCCCTACCCTCATCGACCTCTAATAAAACACACTTTTTTCTGTCAATAAAAATGAAGCTGCCAAACATCTCATCAACTCTTAACCAACAAAAAGAAGATATTTAGATATGTATACATGAATCTATCTGTAATTAACTAGTATTGTGAGGTGATTAATGGCGTGCTTATGTTATCTAATCTGTGAGTAGTGGTCGTGAACATATTTTGTACTTCAAATGTTAATATATGGATTGGTATCTTGGTTGTAGTGTATTAATGTTTGCTTTAATAATAAATTTTCTTGATGTAATTTCTTAACTGAAGGGTTGGGCTCCAAGTTGGTTAGAAATTGCTGGCTTGATCTTGGTGGTACTAATTACTTTACTGCCCGGTGTTTCTATTTATTTGGTCTAATTCGAAGATTATAACTTCTAAGTTTGACATCTCCAGTTGTGTGGGCGCAGGCAAAAAAGTGGAAAAATTAAGAGAATTTAAATAATTTAATGGCTAGTGAGTAGATTAGGGGGGCCATTATCTTCTTACTTTTCCTTTTTTTTTTTTCTCGTTTTGTTGTTTGTAAGAACGAAATACAATAAACTTGTGGGGTGATTATATTTTTGTTTATGGTATTTTTTTACTGCATAAAAAAAAACAAATAATCAGTTTAGTTCGTCCGAAACAAAAACTTATTTTGCAACTCTTTGGTGTTTTCTTTTTTAATATTACTGCATTCATAAATAAATAGACACTAGAGTTTATCTCTCTCTGTTCGAGATTATACACATTAGTTTTTAGTTTTTGGATAATTTTTAATAAGATATTTACTTTTAAGATTTTCAATTTGCTCTAAATGTTTAAAATATATTCAATTGGGTCATTTGTAGAAGAGATTTGTTAAGTTTATAATTTGCCACTAATTTTTTTTTATTAACGTAATGATCAACTAAATTCATTTTCTTCAAATTATTTGAATGACATATTCATGTGTTTAAATGTAATAGTAAAATATTAATTTGGCTTTTTTCCCTAATAAATTTTTGCATAAACAAGGAAGGGTTTAATTGATATTTTTTAATATACTAGGAGTAAAATTTAAAATTTAAAAATATTAATGATCAAATTGAATGACATATTCATGTGTTTAATGTTTTACCATAAATTTTACGACAGGTAAATTATTAAAAAGAAAATCTAAATTTTGAAAAATGCTTTAATCTTGTATTAAAATGTATTTGTCTACTGAATAATTCTCTATTATTGAAGTTTGTTTTATAGGAGGGAATTACAAAATTAGCACAAAAATGAATATGTATTTATATATATAGCATTAAGTATAAAATTTTACAAAAATGACATAAATTACAAACTTATACATAGACCAATTACTTTTGTGACATTTTCTAAAAAAACAAAAGTTCATGAAAATTTTATAAATACATATTTATTTTATTTCATTTGGTATAATTTCTTTTTTTTTTTTTCCATTTCGTGTGATTTGGCACGTCATTTTGCTGGTTCTTTTGTTGGCCGATTCATTAAGTTCAATTTCTTTAAATGATTTTTGTGCTAGTTTTAGTCAATAAATGAAGTTGCTTGTCCTCATAATTTGACAAGTATTGTTAAACATTTCGATAACAAATCATAACATTAGAATAGCATAAATTAACGGAGAATGCCAAATGTCATAAATAGTTAATTAATATTTGTATTGATGCATATATATGATATTTTGCTTAAAATTTAAATGATTTATTCTAACTTAAGATACGTGAGAGAACTTTCGCTTAGAGGTCGTTTATTTTCTTTTTGTGCTAATTTATTTTACAAGTGCTAATCAAATTACTCTAATTTATTCAACATAGAGATGATTGATGATTAGCTTAACCACTAACTCATGCTTGAATTGATGGATCATACTATTACTCGTAAGACTTAAACCAATCTTCACATTTTAAATACATCAAAATTATTCGTCACATACCAAACATGTTTGAAAGTAGTTAGTTAGGGTTATAGTTTAGTGTCATCAAGTGACTCACAACTAAATAACTGACATAAGTATGATTAATAATCAAAATTTAAATTAAGATTACTTATTTTATAATCTGCCCATGAATTATGGTCTCCTAATACATATCACTCATTAGAAAAATATGACTCTTTTGGCAAACTATGGTACATTTTCTTAAAAAAAAGGTAAAAGCATATAGACAATTGGTTCAAAGTCCAAATCCTTTTACACTGCAATTATTTTCTTTCAAATTAATAATTAAAAGAGCCTACAAAAAGGCATTCCGTTTGCCAGAAAGTGACAGCTTCTGGATTTCTTCGGTCCGAGCCGAACATGTCCGGTTCATATATATCACATCCCGGTTGGAACCGTAAGTTGTGTGTCGCACGCGTCCCTCGTGCCGTCATCCCATCGCTTACAAAGATCAAAATAATAAAAAAAAAAGAAAAAAAAGAAAAGAAAAACATAGAAATCACGATTGGAGCCAGAGAGAGAGAGAGAAAAGCAACGTTTTCGTTTCTTCTCTCTCTCGCTCGATGTGGGGGAAGGTTTCACAGACGACAAAACGAGGGTTTTGTGAAAACGGAAAAGAGAAAGAAAGCTTAAGTTCTAGAGAGAGAAAATCCTCATTCATCACCCGGAGGAGAGAGAAATTCGGAGCAGAGGGAGTTTGTGGAGCTCCTATTTCTCGCCGAGTCTCAACCTAGGGTTTCAAGTTCTGTTGGCAAGGCAAGACACTCAATACTTCTGCATCCTTGCATTTTATTTACTCATTCTTAATTGGGTTTTTAGTTTTATTCCGGAATCCGTATCTGCGCATTAATTTACACAAATCACCTATTGAAATTTGCATTTCATTTTCATCCACGCCGTTCTTTGTTTAAAGACCGCAAAGCAGGGTGACCTCGTTTGATAATTTCCATTTTCTCTGCTCTAACCTATCATCTTATACTGGGGTACGTCCATAGGTGCGAGTTTCCAAATCTCGTTTGGCTTTTTTTAGAGTAGACGGAAGAACTGCTTACTCGACTCTGGATTTTATTTAGAATTATTATTGTCTTAGTTATCACGTTTTATAGGTAGCAGGGTGCTTTTGAAATTTCAGTAACTAAAACTATCCTTTCTGGGGTGATAGTTATAACTTTCCCTCCTCAACTGGTCTTTCAAAGTAGTCCCTGATTTTGGTTGTAGCACTTGGTACTGCTTTAAGTTTCGTAGGTTATCCTAGTGGAACCCTCTATAAACGTAGTAGTTTGTTTTCCAAATCTGATTTTCTTTTTCATCATTATTCATTGGCAAATCGTGTTTGATTTTGCCTTTTAGAAAGTTGAGCATTGATGAAGGTCTTGCTCGTGATCACCCATTATTTTGGTGAATGGGTTGATAATTCTGTCTACAGTCAAATAGGTTTATTGACCGTTACTCTTATATCTATATCTATAAACTAATGTGCTTTCAGGGTGATATGGAATATCGTCTTTCTTTTGTTGTTTTAGGTACATCTTTCGTTGGTTGCAATCAATAAGATCATTGCTTGTTGGTATAGTAAACTGAGAAAGTCATTTTTTGGTTTTATCGATAATACCATACTTGTTATCTATATTGAATACCCTTGAACTTGAAGGTCATCAACCAGACAGTTTTGGTGCAAGAACAATTAATGATAGTATAATATTTTAATGTTTAAATTATAACTTACTAATATAGTTACTATTAATAGGATTAAGATGCTAGTATTTTCTTTCGCTTTGATTAATATTTTTGGGTTATTGATATTCAGTTTCGTTATGTATTCCCGTATTATGTCAAGTCTTATCTGAACTTACAGAATAACATGATTATATTTACCATGGTCGTCTTAAGTTTTCTTATGTTGGCTGGACGTGACTTCTGATACTTTTTTCCATATAATTTATTTTGAGTGTACTATAAGACAGATTTTTGACCAATTTGTTGAGTTGGATGCTTGTGTCGTAATCAATGTTTCATTTCAGGCCTTCTATAATCGAGAAACTGCATTATTTTGTATAGAACAATAGTTCAGGTATATCTGCTGTGCCTGTTTGAAGATTAATTTGATTTTTGAACCCCAATATTTTCAAACATTTTTCCCATATAGTTTACATAGAACAGTTTTTCGCTGATAATGTAATGTGCTTGTTAGTTTGAACCATCACCTTGTAACTCATTTGATAACAAATATGCAATAACCTCAGTTTATCTCTGCATGCATACTTTCCCTAGTTTTAGGAGTCTGTTGATTAACAAGTATATTTTCTCATTTGCAGTGTTGTTTCATAATCTTGGCCTGGTAGTCTGCTAGATGGATGAAAAGGTTCTATCATCTGATGCTCTCAATGATGGTATATGAAGCATGATGACACTTGAGGACTTCTTTACCTTGACTGAAATAAAAAATGGGCTTACAGCCCCATGTAGAGTTGAGGAATTGATCAATGTTATGCAGAAGGAGAAGGATTGTTTTGTGAAGAATGTTAGCGATGCAACCAGGCACTGGGCTGCTGTTGCAGGTGCTATTGCTGCTACGGAGAATAAAGATTGTCTTGATCTTTTTATCCAATTAGATGGACTGAACTTTATTCAAAGATGGCTAAAGGATGCTCAAGAGTTTAGTAATGATACAAATGATAGCACCGTGGAAGAGTCAATCATTGTTTTGTTGCAAGCACTTAAGAAACTTCATATAACTGCAGAAAAGTCCATTTCTTCTGGGATTTTGTTTACTGTTAAAGGTCTTTATGAAAATACTGACCATTGCAAATCTAGGTTTGGGAAGGAATTAAGCGCACTCCTTGACAGATGGATGCAGGAGATAAATGATAAAGCTTTGCTTCGTGACACAGAAAATGTTGGTATACATTTTGATGAAGAGAATTCAAGTATTGCTCATGGGGGAGGAAGGTCATCTGCTTCAGGTGGATCTGTTTCAAGAGAATTAGCCAGTGATGGAAAACAAGTACCAGAACCTGTCAGAGAGAAAATATTTTCAGGAAGCCCTGATGCTCTTCACCCAGATAAGAATGAAGATTCAAAGGTTCAGTCTCCAAGAAATGAGCTCGACTCTCAGTTGATTTCAGGAAATTCAGTTGTGAAAGATAGATCTCCAGATTTGGCATCAAACTCTGCTGTTATGTTAGTTCCAACTGAGGATGTCTCGAAGAAGGAAGAAACACCTCTGTGTTCTGTTGGAGGAGGAACCTCAGCTAGTGTGGCCTGTAGCCTTCCAGTTGCAAGGGAAGGCAGTGATACTGAACAGTTAGATGGTTCGAAGAAGTTGAATGAGTTGCCAGAGGTTGAAAACCAGGTGCATAAGATTGATGGCTCTTCTGGTAGGTCATGTGTGACAGAGAAATCAGATATCTCTTCACACTCTCCCATGCAGGATTCTGGAACTGGTTTAGAAGGATTTGATGCTGCCAACGGTGAAGAGTCTGCTAAAGAAGCTCCAGCTCAACAAGATAATGATGGTCTTGACAATGCTGGTAATGCTGGTGTCTGTCGACGTAGTTCTAGTCTTGATAGTGAGAGAGTTTCCACACTAGATTCGACCAGTGGGATATCTGATAAAAAAATAAACTACTCTAGTACACCAGGGTTTAAAACTGCAGGTTCAGAGGGTGAGCGCTATCGAAATGCTCTCCGGGATTTGTCAATGAATGGGAGTCTACTAGGAAAACTTGAGGATTGTGGGGCTTCTTTTTCGAGGATGGAAGACTTTGGACAAGTTAATGGAGACAGACAGCGTCGGAGAAAGGAAGATGACAGTCTAATGACTGATTCGGAATTCTCGAAACCAAAACTAAATTCCAAAACTTCAAACATAATTGATAAGAGGTCAGATATGGAACTTGAGTATGGGATAGTTGATGCGCTGGAGGTTGCTCGGCAAGTAGCTCAAGAAGTAGAAAGAGAAGTGGTGGAATATAGAGAGCCATCCTGCAGCTCTTCTTCTGATAAAGTGTCTGATGGTGGAATCAGGCCGCTGGGTAAACCAGATACCATGGTGGAAAAACAGGACCTGCCAACTGATCTCCATGGAAGGGAGATTCAATCTGCAAAAAGTCATGTTGCTGAATCATATTCTGATGCGGAGACATGCTTAACTCATCCAGATAATTTGGATACTCAACCAGAAAATGTAAACGAAATGGAATCGTCCCTGGTCACTGAAGCAGCTCGAGGGGCAGAAACAAGTACAGAAAAAGGATTTTGTGAATTTGATCTAAATCAAGAAGTATTTAATGATGATACAGAGCAGTTAGCAACTCCAGTGTCTTTACCGGTATCTGTTATCTCTGTGTCTAGACCAGCTGCTTCTTCTGGATTGCCTCTAACACCTTTGCAGTTTGAAGGGACCCTTGGATGGAGAGGCTCTGCAGCCACCAGTGCTTTCCGCCCTGCTTCCCCACGTAAAGTTCCTGATAGTGATAGGACTCTTTCTAGTGGTGGAAATTCTGATAGTTCGAAGCAGAGGCAGGACTTTCTTGACATTGATCTGAATGTGGCTGAGACTGGAGACGAGACCAGGAAACAAAACCTGGGATCATCTTTCCCTCCATCGGGAGAGTTTTTAGTTGAAAGTGGACAAAGAAGATCTGGGGGGCTAAAGCTAGACCTCAACTGCGCTGGTGACGATGTGGATGCTCCAGCATCAGATTTGAGAATGGAGGGACCCTTTAACAATCAGAATAGCTACAGTGCTTCTCCGGCCTGCTCTTCGTCATCAATGCAACCTTTGGTGAGGAATATTGATTTGAACAATAGGCCATATGTTCAAGGTGATGCTTCAGATCAAGGTCCTGGTAAGTACTGTCAAAACGCAAGTGCTTATGGAGGGCCTAGTACAGATGCATCTGTTATTTCCATCATGGGTACAAGGGTGGAAGTTAGTAGAAAAGATTTTGCTCTTCATGCTTCATCCTTGCCAAATGGCAGAATTGTTGAGCCTGCTGGGATGGGTGCTACTTTGGCGAGAACAGGAGATATATTAGGGATGAATTCTGCGGTCTCTTACCACCAGACTCCCTTTATTGGTTACAATGGACTGACACCAGGGCCTACCATTTCGTTCTCAACCATGTATGAACCTAGTGGTTCTATTCCTTACATGGTTGATTCAAGAGGAGCTGCTGTTATGCCTCAAATTATGGGCCCTATGTCAGCTGTTCCGCCTTCCTCTTACGCTCACCCACCATTTATCATGGGCATGCCAGATGCACAGCTGACTCCTAATGGCGCTGCTCATTCACGTCCTAAATTTGATTTAAATTCTGGATTAGGTGATTCTGGGGGTTTAAAGCAGCTTCTTTTCCCAGGTCATCTCCGATCCATGGAAGAGCAGTTGAGAGCTAATGTGCAACCCTCAAGTTCTGGAGTTGGTACAAAAAGGAAAGAACCAGATTGCCCCGATGGTGGGTGGGAAGGGTATCTACTAAGCTATAAACATCAGCAGCCTCCATGGAAACAGTAATCCTCCCTCTCATGATCTCGTTCTCCACTTCGGACCATTTCGTGAATCCACAGAAGTATACTGATAATCACTGCCAGAAAATGATTCATACAAGGATGCTGAACCCATTAGCCTTAGTGTGGGGGTGGGTTTAATTTATGACTAAATAAAGCTGGGTAACTTGTGCTGTTATATGATTCACGAGATTAGTTGTGGAGGGGAAAGTTTAGGGGCATCTTTTTCTTTTTTCTTTTTTTTTTTTTCCCTTTTTTTGGGT